TTCCCATTCTTTCTGAAGTGATATGGAGTGTTGATCCTGCAGACAGTCTGTAGCACAGTTATTAGAGTGCAAGATTTGGGAAAACAATTAACGTTGTGCTGTTTCTGGCTGTCAGGAAGCAAATAAATCATTGCTGCCTTCCAAAGACTCTACTGGTAGTGGGCAGTACACCAGCTGAAATTACTCCTCTGGAGTTGGTCATAACCGTTATACCAGTTGAGGTAGTACAGGACATAATAGGAGACAAAGGACTTGAGAAATTCAACAAAGCTGACGTTGGCTTCTCATTTGAATTTCCCATTCCGCCTTAAACGGTGCAGCAGTATGTAGAATGTAGCCGCTACAACATTTAAGGTGGAACAGGAAGTGGCAGAAGGGGTCATTTTTGGCCAGGCTAGCAAAGCCAGTATTAGAAACCAGTACTGACAGATTTATGGGTTTTAGCATATGTACTGACTTAACCACATTTCAGACCAGACTATTTCTTGAAGGCATGACAATACAGGGCAGCCAATCAGAACACCGGTCATTTACATATCAGTCTTGGAGGTACAGTAAAAATGCAGTGCCCTTCAGGAGAAGAATGAAAAGGAACCTGTATATGAGCCCTTTGAACACAGCAGATCTTGATTGGTGTTGTGGAAGTGGTTCTCTGTCTCTCTGATGGGTTTAACTCTGTCTGTGTTCCACAGAGAGACCAGTTGCACCATCACTTCAGTGGAGAAACGGGGACGTCAAACCAGCGCCAGCTTTATCAGTGAGAGGAGAGTTGAGGAACAGGGACGCTGGAAGAAAACCAGAGAACCTTGTGCTTTTCTCTGCAGCTCTGTTGGGACTGACCCTGCTGTATGTCTGACTTTTCACATACTGAACTGATGTTATGATGTAGGTATTATAATATAGATCTTTACATGGATATTGTGTGTGTGTGTGTGTGTATATATATATATACACACACACACACACACACACACCAATCAGGCACACTCATTGTCCATTTTATCATTCTCAGCACTAACACACCACCACCCCATCAGTGTTACTGCAGTACTGAGAATGATCTGCCACCCAAATAGTACCTACTCTGTGAGGGTCCATGGGGGTCCTGACCACTGAAGAACAGGGTAAAACGGGCTAACAAAGTATGCAGAGAAACAGATGGACTACAGTCTGTAATTGTAGAACTACAAAATGCACCTATATAGTAAGTGGAGCTGATAAAATGGAAAATGAATGTAGAAACAAGGAGGTGGTCATAATGTTATGCCTGATCAGTGTGTGTGTATATATGTATGTATGTATATATGTATATGTATAAATGACAAGTGATGATACTGATAATAATAATTAAAAAAAATATTTTGATAAAATGATTCAGCTTTTAAAGTTCTGAATTGTGAATCCCTGTCTCTGCTCTTATTTACACTGTAATTCTTTACTGGTTTTTATTTTAGAACTATTTATTTGGCTGAACTTCCCACATAAGCCTCTAATCTGATGTAACCCCACACTCTTAAAGACTGATTCTATATAAAACCATAAACACTCAGAGAAATATCTACACGCTTTAATGGTTCTTCAGACTGATGGAGAATGTGTTCTTTTTGAAAATGGTTCTATGTAGCAGATACTATTCTGGTCCTGGAGATCTACTACTGTGTAAAGTTTAACTCCAACACAAATCTAGCACAGGTGATCCAGGAAATTAAGGCCTCCAGGATCAGGACTAGACACCCCTGGTCAAGGTGGTTGACTATCTAATTTAAAATGTGAGTCCAGGGGTCCCCATTCCTGTCTTTTGCCCAGAGCTCCACAATCTCTAAATCTGCCTTGGATCACTGGCCACTTTATTAGAAACACCCACCTTGTACTTCCACTCACTGGCCACTTTATTAGAAACACCAACCTCGTGCTTCCACTCACTGGCCACTTTATTAGAAACCCCTACCCTGTGCTTCCACTCGCTGGCCACTTTATTAGAAATACCTACCTCAAGTAAGGTTTATTATTATTGTTGATTGTGACATTATTTTCAGTGAAACACGATGGACTGCAGTTCCAAATCACAGCCCACATATTTCTAAACCCCCCCACCCCCTTTTTTGTAACATCACTGCAACCATATGTTTTTTTATGTTATGGTTTTTAACTTAACTGTAATTCTGGTTTCTGTGAACCGTTCTGATCTTTTTCAGGCTCTAATTCTCAGGTTTTCAGTGTCGGCGCTTAAGAAAAGAAAACATGCAATAAAAAAGCTGATTTTAGTTTTCTGTGGGCTGCTATGCTTTGTTTGTATAAACTGGTGGGGCTTGGGGTGGAAAAGGTTGAGGACCCCTGCATGTGCTGTCCATTGTATTTTCATTGTACACAATTCATTCTACATCCACTAGATGGCGACATTTAATTTCAGTGTACAGCAGGAGCGGTCAAACTCGGCCATTTCCAACAATCAGACTTCTAATCAGTGCTTTTTGACAGCATGGACACACTTGGACATGGTCCAGTAATAGCACAGTTATCCAGAGATAATTTCACATTAAAGCTTTGGCAAACCTGAAGACACATAAAGGAGGAACTAGTAAAAAATGTTGATATATCAGTGTTTATTTGGAAGCTTGTTGTCTGATCAGATGTAAACAAATGGTAACCAATCAGCAAGTAAAGCTCACTTCCATTTCACCACCCTGTATTTGACCAGTAGAAAGTTTTTAACACTGAATACTGTTAACATGAGCGCTAAACTCATCATGAAGGGGGTCAGTTAGAAACCCCACCCTGCATGAATGGATTATAAAATACTATTTAGGCCAAAAGTGCATCATAAAACAACACTTTAGTCCAGTGTGTGATCACAAAAACTATCATAAAACAACGTCTCAGACATCAGGCAGTGTATCAGAGGTGGACGCCTGGTTTCTGTCACCACCACTGTGAACAATTCTGACTCTCAAACAGAAAAGTTTACACCAAACTGCTCTGAATGACTCGGTTTACATCCTAATGACTGATTTATGCATAAAATTTGGAAGAAATTCTCCTTTAATGCTACTGAGAAAGGAAAATCCTGAGAATTCAACTTTGCTTTTATTTTTAATAACACTTATTTTTAATAATCAGCCTTAATTAACTGTTATCTTTACCTTAAAATGATGATTATTTGAATTATCTCTGTAGAACTGATGTTAAAACCAGCATTATTCCCTATAGAACTGCAGTAGAACTTCTCAGTACATCTATCAGCACAGGAACTGAAGTTTACAGTGTTTCAGGCTCTGTTCTTCTCTTTTTGATCCTTTGGGTCTAAAAAATTTGAAGGCAGCTGTTTTGCTGATGCTTCTGTTTTAATTTCACACATAAGTGAATTAAGACTAAAAGAAATGCTAACAGGCTCACTTTCATTTGAAAATGAAGTACAATATTCTCGGTGCATTACGTTTAATTGGACAGTGTTATAATATTTAAACAATGTCTTTGTTTTTGACATGCTTTGGTAGGCTACAAGTGTTTACAGTAGCAGTAACGCTAACTAATCAGCACTCAGTAGCAGTAATGCTAACCAATCAGAACTCAGTAGCAGTAAGGCTAACTAATCAGCACTCAGTAGCAGTAATGCTAACCAATCAGAACTCAGTAGCAGTAATGCTAACCAATCAGCACTCAGTAGCAGTAATGCTAACCAATCAGAACTCAGTAGCAGTAATGCTAACCAATCAGCACCCAGTAGCAGCAATGCTAACTAATAAGAACTCAGTACCAGTAATGCTAACCAATCATAACTCAGTAGAAGTAATGCTAACAAATCAGAACTCAGTAGCAGCAATGCTAACCAATCAGAGCTCAGTAGTGGTAATGCTAACCAATCAGCACCCAGTAGCAGTAATGCTAACTAATCAGAACTCAGTAGCAGTAATGCTAACCAATCAGCACCCAGTAGCAGTAATGCTAACTAATCAGAACTCAGTAGCAGTAATGCTAACCAATCAGCACCCAGTAGCAGTAATGCTAACCAATCAGCACTCAGTAGCAGTAATGTCAGCATTCAGCTGCACAAAACCCATTTGCTGTAGAAAAAAAGGAAATATATTGGTAATTATTCTTTGGTTTTTTAGTGAAATACGTTCCTCTACTTTCTACAATTAAAAGTGATTATAAACTATTTTACCTTCTCGTTTTTAGCCGTTGAGCTCGATTACTCCGCCCACTGCTGTTTTCCAGTCCTGTTGTTGACATAACGGTGGGGGTTGGGTGTCGGGGGTCGGGGGTGGGGGGCAAGAAGTGGCCAGGCTCCTCATAAACCGGCTGTGCTCTGGTTTGAACTGTGGTCTGGTAAGAACTCAAACTCCCAGACCTCCTCAGAGATCACATGACACAAACAGCGCTGTTTGTGCTTTTATGCGCAGTGAATGCGCAAACTGGTGGTTAATGTGGGCTGAGAAGCGCTGATACAGCGACAGCTGGACAGCTGAGCTGAAATTGTAAACAGAGTGACCTGACGTCTGGATCCAACATTACAAACATGATGAACTGCTCTTATCCGCCTGTGTTTCACACGCAGCTCCTCTGTTTGATCGCGGGGCTAAAGATCCACTCGTTTCTCCACTTACACTACCAGATCATCCGCGCAGTCAGTCGATTCTGATGGAGCTCCTGACCTGGAAATGGCTTCAGAGTGTGAAAATTTGCCGCAAGGGGCGAATCGGGCTTAAAGACCCCTTTACACTGTGATATCAACCCCTCAGGAGCCACAAAATACCACTACAGTCTATAGGACACCGCCAGAAACCACTGGTGATTTTGTCAGTAGGGATGAAGCCAGCGGTTCATAGTTAAGTATCGTGTGAATAGCTGGTGTAATTATAAAGAAAGCAACAGCAATAATCACAAAACAAAACATTCAGATTATGTTTTACTTTGCATGTGAAGGAGTACAATACAGGCTCGTTTGAATTCGAAGCTCCGCCCCATGTACACGCCCCTTAATGGTTTAGGAGTTTAGACTCCTTTAATACAGGTGAGCTGGGTGGGTCTGTTCCGCGTGTAGGTGCTTTATAAAAGGAGGAGTGCTCTAAAAGTCTCCTCATTCATTCATTTATTCTTTCTTTCTTTCGCTCGCGAGCTGCTTCACAGAAACGACGCCATGACACGGTTAAGACTCAGTCAGCGGTATGTACACATTTACTATTACTTAGCTGTAAAATCTGGCCAGCAACCCAAAAATCATTCTGATTGGTGAGATTTGGGCCAATAGGAAAATAGATCTGTGTATTTCAGCTTCTCTGCGTTTGTTAGACTTGATCAGGCTCCTTAAAGCGATGCCTTTATTGATCATACTGTTTAAAACGATATTTTAACATCAGTATTAATATGTGTGCAACCAGAAACTCCAGTAAGCTAAGACAAACGTGAACGTGATAGAGTCCAGGGGCCGCATTACAGAAACGTCTTAAGCCTGAAATCTTAAGTTACCATGACAACTTAAGTACGCACTGAATTTATGACAGAAGCTTTTACAGAATAAATGTCCCTAACTAATCTTATCCTAACTCCAGATAAGAAAACAGTATGACAGAAGGATCCTAACTAGACCAAATCTCCTAAATACTGTCCCAACAGTGTCCTAACTCCTGTTTAACCGTCTGTTTCTAGCGTTTCTAGGCAGCTGTGTCAGGCAGCATAGTTCACTACTGACATAATGAGGCTACATTTATTTACACTGTTAAACGCTGATTTCACTGAGATGGTTTTCTTTTCTAACTCTGCGTTTTAAAAATCTCAGACACTGCAGACTCCGTCACTCTCATTACCTTCGTGTGTTACTGTTGATGATAAAGTATTACAGTGATGGTGGTGAGTTTTGAGGAGACAGAGCTGAACGTGTCTTTATAATAGGCGGAATAACGTTAAAAGCGTTTGGCTAAAGCGTTTGGATTAATGAACCTGGAGAGCAGCGACGCTCTGATAAACAGCACGAAACGCGGTCACAATAGTCATAACTTCAAGCTTATCACGCTTTAGTTTTGTTTCACCTTTACATCAGTAACGGCAGCTAACGTTAGCTGTCTGGCTAACCAACGTTAATACATAACGTTACCTAGATGCCGCGGTGGGTTCAGCCAGGCACGTCAACGGCGCCGCCATTTTGGGGCGGTCAACATCGCTGCTGGACTGCATTCAGTACCATTACAGAGCGGCAGTTTGAGAAAGATATTGTCCAAAATTACACTATTTCAAGAATATTGATCTCAGAAAGTGGGATAGGCTTATATAACGGAGGAAACGCAGCGATCCACGCTCATGTTTGTGTGGTGTTTATGTGTAGATATGGCCGTGTGGTTGGTGAAGCACAGAGAACCTGTTAATGTGATTTGTTTTTCTCTGGTTTTATATGAAGCTTATTTCATTTAATAGTCTATTCAGGGGATCTTAACTCTATGTAGTAGTTATTTAATTACAGTGATGGTTAAAGCTGTGTAGCTGGGTAAGTTACAGCATTCCTTAATCCGTGTAGATATCCATAATAGATTAACTTTAGCACCTTCTTACACAAACCTGACGTTAGTTTCTTACTTGCCAGCTTCTTGTTCAAATTTTCCCGTTCCACCTTAAATGGTGCAGCTTCAGGCACCAGAAAGTGGCTGCTGCACCAATTAAGGTGGAACGTGAAAACTCGAACAAGAAGCTGGCGAATAGGAAGCCGACTTTAGCTTCGTCCTTCTTACTGTGTTTTGGGGGTTTATTTTATTTTTGTGTGTATTAAGATTAGAAGTGATTCACACACTGATAGATTTGCTGATGTGTGTGAGTTTGTGTTTTTTACTCGCGCTAAAAAAGTTCCTGAGTTGGAATAAGATACTGTAAGATAAAATCCCTAAATGAAGGGAAGATTTGCTTCTGTACTACGAATTTGTGAAAAATCTTATTTTGACCTGTCAAATCTTAAGTTCAGACAAAAAGATAGGAAGTTTCTGTAATGTGGCCCCAGAGCAATATTGTACAATAGAGTGATAATAATCTAAAATATCATGGAACAAAAGCTGTGAAAACGCATGTTTTTATTCAGTGGAATATTTTAATACACATGTATTTCAAGCCCAAACCTTATATGCAACATCTAATATATTGTTTTACATCTAATCAACATCTTGTGAACAGTCTCTGGTCACTTATCTTGCCGAAGCCAGTTTATCACTCAAAGTTCTCTGGTTTAGCTCGACGAACACAGTGTTGCAGGTTTGTGACTGGACAGACATTTAGATCTAGAGGTGGGCGATATGGCAAAATATAATATTGTGATACTTCAAGAAATTGTCATGGTACACGATGTGTCACACTGTTAATTTTTTCAGACATCATAATGCTACATTTTAAAAAAAATACTGTTAAACTGTAAATACAATGATTTTTATTCAATATTTGGCATAGTGTTGCACTAAATGCAGTTAAACAGGATTAATTTTGCTCATTTGATATTTGGGGGAAAAAAAGGATTTTCATGCAGCATTTGCAGTTTTGAAGAATATGAGCCATCAGAATGTCTTTCTCGAGCATTTTATTCTGTATTTTCTTGATGTAGATGCTGGTTCTCCTGTGTCTTACTGCTGCTGATAGACAAAGGTGAAAACTTAATTTACCTCAATATAATATGCAGCACATGAAGAAAATAAAAGCCAGGCTGTGCTTACATCTGCTTTTATTGTGTTTCAGTGTCTATTTCAGTGTCCCTGCAGGGCATTGAAGCTGGTGTAGGAAAGCCTGTCATCTTACCATGTTCAAACAGTGATGAGGCACTGCAGGATAAAGTCACTGTGTTCTGGAGATTCAGAGACAGCAGGACTGTGTACGACATCATCGACAGCGAAGTGTTGTTTGATGAACAGGACACATCATTCAGACACAGAGTTGAAAGTTTTCCAGCTGAGTGGACAAAGGGAAACTTCTCCATCACACTCAGCAGTGTCCAGAAGGCTGATGGAGGACTGTACACCTGCTTCATTCCTGCTATCAACAAACAAACGAAAGTACAGCTGATTGTTCAAGGTTTGTAGAAAGTCTCCTTAAATCCTGTTTGGTTTGATTTGAAAATAAAACCATCAAAGGGCCTATATTACAAAACATGAATTTTTTAAAAATAATAATTTGATGGACTGTATAAACACTTATGCTTTTGGCTACAGCCTTAGATCAGAACACTGGTGTTGTACAGATGTTGTACTTTTATAATGGTGAATATTCTATGAAACTGAAAATCTTATTTCCAAAGGGCTGGTGTGGCTGCAGCTTTCCATTCCAAATAAGCAGCACACTTAATTCAGACTAATGTAAGGCACATTTTCAGCCACTCCTTATTTTTGCTGTATTGAAAAATGTATCGAATCAAGAAGCCGCTGTATCGTATCACAATTAATTCTGTAAATTGTCGCACCGCACACATGTACATTCGGCCTACATCAGTTACGCCTTCCCATTCTGAAGGGATGTGGAGTGTTGATCCTGCAGACAGTCTGTAGCACAGAGTGCAAGATTTAACGTTGTGCTGTTTCTGGCTGTCAGGAAGCAAATAAATCATTGCTGTCTTCCAAAGACTCTACTGGTAGTGGGCAGTACACCAGCTGAAATTACTCCTCTGGAGTTGGTCATAACTGTTATACCAGTAGAGGACATAATAGGAGACAAAGGACTTGAGAAATTCAACAAAGTTGCCAGTATTAGAAGCCAGTATTGACAGATTTATGGTTTTTAGCATATGTACTGACTTAACCACATTTCAGACCAGACTATTTCTTGAAGGCATGACAATACAGGGCAGCCAATCAGAACACCGGTCATTTACATATCAGTCTTGGAGGTGCAATAAAAATGCAGTGCCCTTCAGGAGAAGAATGAAAAGGAACCTGTATATGAGCCCTTTGAACACAGCAGATCGTGATTGGTGTTGTGGAAGTGGTTCTTTCTCTCTGATGGGTTTAACTCTGTCTGTGTTCCACAGAGAGACCAGTTGCACAAATGCTTCAGCAGAGAGACGGGGACGTCAAAACAGCGCCAGCTTTATCAGTGAGAGGAGAGTTGAGGAACAGGGACGCTGGAAGAAAACCAGAGAACCTTGTGCTTTTCTCTGCAGCTCTGTTGGGACTGACCCTGCTGGATGTCTGACTTTTCACATACTGAACTGATGTTATGATGTAGTTATTAATAATATAGATATTTTATACAGATTATTGTGTGTGTGTGTGTATATACATATATATAATGTATATGTATGTATGTATGTATGTATGTATATAATGTATATGTATATGTGTGTGTATATCAGGCACACTCATTGTCCATTTTATAGTAACACATCAGTGTTACTGCAGTACTGAGAATGATCTGCCACCCAAATAGTACCTGCTCTGTCAGGGTCCATGGGGGGTCCTGACCACTGAAGAACAGGGTAAAAGGGGGCTAACAAAGTATGCAGAGAAACAAATGGACTACAGTCTGTAACTGTAGAACTACAAAGTGCACCTATATAGTAAGTGGAGCTGATAAAATGGACAATGAGCATAGAAACAAGGAGGTGATCATAATGTTATGTCTGATCAGTATGTATGTATGTATGTATAAATATAGTAGTGACCCTAACTGACCTAAGAGAGGGGATATGTTCTATGATGTAAGTGAGATGTTTAAATGAATGTGGCTAAGGTGTTTGTAAACATATGACTTCCACTGTATATGAAGAATTTTTTGGCACAGTAGAATTTGCTCATTGTATAATAAATGTTTTTGTATTGTTTTTGTAAAATGAATCTGCACTGGATGATACTGATAATAATTAAAAAAATATTTTGATAAAATGATTCAGCTTTTAAAGTTCTGAATTGTGAATCCCTGTCTCTGCTCTTATTTACACTGTAATTCTTTACTGGTTTTTATTTTAGAACTATTTATTTGGCTGAACTTCCCACATAAGCCTCTAATCTGATGTAACCCCACACTCTTAAAGACTGATTCTATATAAAACCATAAACACTCAGAGAAATATCTACACGCTTTAATGGTTCTTCAGACTGATGGAGAATGTGTTCTTTTTGAAAATGGTTCTATGTAGCAGATACTATTCTGGTCCTGGAGATCTACTACTGTGTAAAGTTTAACTCCAACACAAATCTAGCACAGGTGATCCAGGAAATTAAGGCCTCCAGGATCAGGACTAGACACCCCTGGTCAAGGTGGTTGACTATCTAATTTAAAATGTGAGTCCAGGGGTCCCCATTCCTGTCTTTTGCCCAGAGCTCCACAATCTCTAAATCTGCCTTGGATCACTGGCCACTTTATTAGAAACACCCACTTTGTACTTCCACTCACTGGCCACTTTATTAGAAACGCCAACCTCGTGCTTCCACTCACTGGCCACTTTATTAGAAACCCCTACCCTGTGCTTCCACTCGCTGGCCACTTTATTAGAAATACCTACCTCAAGTAAGGTTTATTATTATTGTTGATTGTGACATTATTTTCAGTGAAACACGATGGACTGCAGTTCCAAATCACAGCCCACATATTTCTAAACCCCCCCACCCCCTTTTTTGTAACATCACTGCAACCATATGTTTTTTTATGTTATGGTTTTTAACTTAACTGTAATTCTGGTTTCTGTGAACCGTTCTGATCTTTTTCAGGCTCTAATTCTCAGGTTTTCAGTGTCGGCGCTTAAGAAAAGAAAACATGCAATAAAAAAGCTGATTTTAGTTTTCTGTGGGCTGCTATGCTTTGTTTGTATAAACTGGTGGGCCTTGGGTGGAAAAGGTTGAGGACCCCTGCATGTGCTGTCCATTGTATTTTCATTGTACACAATTCATTCTACATCCACTAGATGGCGACATTTAATTTCAGTGTACAGCAGGAGCGGTCAAACTCGGCCATTTCCAACAATCAGACTTCTAATCAGTGCTTTTTGACAGCATGGACACACTTGGACATGGTCCAGTAATAGCACAGTTATCCAGAGATAATTTCACATTAAAGCTTTGGCAAACCTGAAGACACATAAAGGAGGAACTAGTAAAAAATGTTGATATATCAGTGTTTATTTGGAAGCTTGTTGTCTGATCAGATGTAAACAAATGGTAACCAATCAGCAAGTAAAGCTCACTTCCATTTCACCACCCTGTATTTGACCAGTAGAAAGTTTTTAACACTGAATACTGTTAACATGAGCGCTAAACTCATCATGAAGGGGGTCAGTTAGAAACCCCACCCTGCATGAATGGATTATAAAATACTATTTAGGCCAAAAGTGCATCATAAAACAACACTTTAGTCCAGTGTGTGATCACAAAAACTATCATAAAACAACGTCTCAGACATCAGGCAGTGTATCAGAGGTGGACGCCTGGTTTCTGTCACCACCACTGTGAACAATTCTGACTCTCAAACAGAAAAGTTTACACCAAACTGCTCTGAATGACTCGGTTTACATCCTAATGACTGATTTATGCATAAAATTTGGAAGAAATTCTCCTTTAATGCTACTGAGAAAGGAAAATCCTGAGAATTCAACTTTGCTTTTATTTTTAATAACACTTATTTTTAATAATCAGCCTTAATTAACTGTTATCTTTACCTTAAAATGATGATTATTTGAATTATCTCTGTAGAACTGATGTTAAAACCAGCATTATTCCCTATAGAACTGCAGTAGAACTTCTCAGTACATCTATCAGCACAGGAACTGAAGTTTACAGTGTTTCAGGCTCTGTTCTTCTCTTTTTGATCCTTTGGGTCTAAAAAATTTGAAGGCAGCTGTTTTGCTGATGCTTCTGTTTTAATTTCACACATAAGTGAATTAAGACTAAAAGAAATGCTAACAGGCTCACTTTCATTTGAAAATGAAGTACAATATTCTCGGTGCATTACGTTTAATTGGACAGTGTTATAATATTTAAACAACGTCTTTGTTTTTGACATGCTTTGGTAGGCTACAAGTGTTTACAGTAGCAGTAACGCTAACTAATCAGCACCCAGTAGCAGTAATGCTAACCAATCAGAACTCAGTAGCAGTAAGGCTAACTAATCAGCACTCAGTAGCAGTAATGCTAACCAATCAGAACTCAGTAGCAGTAATGCTAACCAATCAGCACTCAGTAGCAGTAATGCTAACCAATCAGAACTCAGTAGCAGTAATGCTAACCAATCAGCACCCAGTAGCAGCAATGCTAACTAATAAGAACTCAGTACCAGTAATGCTAACCAATCATAACTCAGTAGAAGTAATGCTAACAAATCAGAACTCAGTAGCAGCAATGCTAACCAATCAGAGCTCAGTAGTGGTAATGCTAACCAATCAGCACCCAGTAGCAGTAATGCTAACCAATCATAACTCAGTAGCAGTAATGCTAACTAGTCAACACTCAGTAGCAGTAATGCTAACCAATCAGCACCCAGTAGCAGCAATGCTAACCAATCAGAGCTCAGTAGTGGTAATGCTAACCAATCAGCACCCAGTAGCAGTAATGCTAACTAATCAGAACTCAGTAGCAGTAATGCTAACCAATCAGCACCCAGTAGCAGTAATGCTAACTAATCAGAACTCAGTAGCAGTAATGCTAACCAATCAGCACCCAGTAGCAGTAATGCTAACCAATCAGCACTCAGTAGCAGTAATGTCAGCATTCAGCTGCACAAAACCCATTTGCTGTAGAAAAAAAGGAAATATATTGGTAATTATTCTTTGGTTTTTTAGTGAAATACGTTCCTCTACTTTCTACAATTAAAAGTGATTATAAACTATTTTACCTTCTCGTTTTTAGCCGTTGAGCTCGATTACTCCGCCCACTGCTGTTTTCCAGTCCTGTTGTTGACATAACGGTGGGGGTTGGGTGTCGGGGGTCGGGGGTGGGGGGCAAGAAGTGGCCAGGCTCCTCATAAACCGGCTGTGCTCTGGTTTGAACTGTGGTCTGGTAAGAACTCAAACTCCCAGACCTCCTCAGAGATCACATGACACAAACAGCGCTGTTTGTGCTTTTATGCGCAGTGAATGCGCAAACTGGTGGTTAATGTGGGCTGAGAAGCGCTGATACAGCGACAGCTGGACAGCTGAGCTGAAATTGTAAACAGAGTGACCTCCAACATTACAAACATGATGAACTGCTCTTATCCGCCTGTGTTTCACACGCAGCTCCTCTGTTTGATCGCGGGGCTAAAGATCCACTCGTTTCTCCACTTACACTACCAGATCATCCGCGCAGTCAGTCGATTCTGATGGAGCTCCTGACCTGGAAATGGCTTCAGAGTGTGAAAATTTGCCGCAAGGGGCGAATCGGGCTTAAAGACCCCTTTACACTGTGATATCAACCCCTCAGGAGCCACAAAATACCACTACAGTCTATAGGACACCGCCAGAAACCACTGGTGATTTTGTCAGTAGGGATGAAGCCAGCGGTTCGTAGTTAAGTATCGTGTGAATAGCTGGTGTAATTATAAAGAAAGCAACAGCAATAATCACAAAACAAAACATTCAGATTATGTTTTACTACGCATGTGAAGGAGTACAATACAGGCTCGCAACACAAAACACCAACAAGCCATTACAGACTCGTTCACGCTACCTGCACGTATAAAACAGAACACCTGAGAACAACAGGGCGAATTAGTGTAGGCGGCCTGTAAACCAGGAGCTGGCGCCGCGTCAGCTCTGAGGACGTGCTTTTCAAAAAGCGTCTAAAAATTCAAATCATCTTTGATTTCATCAACTTTGACTTCAACAGATTTTAACGTATATCCACGTTAATCAAAGAAAAACACGTGCGGAAAAGACTGATTTGCTCGTTTGAATTCGAAGCTCCGCCCCATGTACACGCCCCTTAATGGTTTAGGAGTTTAGACTCCTTTAATACAGGTGAGCTGGGTGGGTCTGTTCCGCGTGTAGGTGCTTTATAAAAGGAGGAGTGCTCTAAAAGTCTCCTCATTCATTCTTTCATTCATTCATTCTTTCTTTCTTTCGCTCGCGAGCTGCTTCACAGAAACGACGCCATGACACGGTTAAGACTCAGTCAGCGGTATGTACACATTTACTATTACTTAGCTGTAAAATCTGCCCAGCAACCCAAAAATCATTCTGATTGGTGAGATTTGGGCCAATAGGAAAATAGATCTGTGTATTTCAGCTTCTCTGCGTTTGTTAGACTTGATCAGGCTCCTTAAAGCGATGCCTTTATTGATCATACTGTTTAAAACGATATATTAACATCAGTATTAATATGTGTGCAACCAGAAACTCCAGTAAGCTAAGACAAACGTGAACGTGATAGAGTCCAGGGGCCGCATTACAGAAACGTCTTAAGCCTGAAATCTTAAGTTACCATGACAACTTAAGTACGCACTGAATTTATGACAGAAGCTTTTACAGAATAAATGTCCCTAACTAATCTTATCCTAACTCCAGATAAGAAAACAGTATGACAGAAGGATCCTAACTAGACCAAATCTCCTAAATACTGTCCCAACAGTGTCCTAACTCCTGTTTAACCGTCTGTTTCTAGCGTTTCTAGGCAGCTGTGTCAGGCAGCATAGTTCACTACTGACATAATGAGGCTACATTTATTTACACTGTTAAACGCTGATTTCACTGAGATGGTTTTCTTTTCTAACTCTGCGTTTTAAAAATCTCAGACACTGCAGACTCCGTCACTCTCATTACCTTCGTGTGTTACTGTTGATGATAAAGTATTACAGTGATGGTGGTGAGTTTTGAGGAGACAGAGCTGAACGTGTCTTTATAATAGGCGGAATAACGTTAAAAGCGTTTGGCTAAAGCGTTTGGATTAATGAACCTGGAGAGCAGCGACGCTCTGATAAA